CCCAGCAACATTTGAGCTTGCACTCCAAATAAAGGATCCCCTTGCTGTCACGGGATAGCGGCTGCATTTTCACAGGCCGCTTGCCAGTTTTGATAAAACTGGAGTTGTTGGGATGGAAGCAATAACATTTGCACAATCATTTTAACATCATATGGTGTCAACAAATGCGCAGAAAATACATGTTGAATAATAGATTGACTGTACGGTGATTTTAACCCATATTGAGTGACTGCTGCCTTAGCTTCCTTTAAAACTTTCCAGTCTAATGCTTCCCAAACAGGACCTCCATGTGTACCTGTCACAAACGGAATAAACTGTCCTTCAATTAAAGCATCTCTAATTACCCCCTTCCATCTGTTTGCCGGATCTCCGACCCCACCCCCTGTTAACAAAGCCGTCAGAGGTGACGGTGGCAAAGGTGCCATGGCACCGATCTCACCCGATACGTCCTGTGAAGTAAAGGGATTCGTTGGAGGTGGTCGCAGGAACAACGAAAATCCTGTGCTGAAAGGTGGTGGAGGCGCAGGAAAAGTTGATGACGCCGGCTCAGGCTTCACCAACGACTCCAGGCGGGCTTCAAGAGCCTCCAGCTTTTGTAGCATTTCCCTCAACTGCGTATCCCCCAGACCTGTCGCCCGTTCCTCCTTTTCTTCAAACGGGGATGGAGGAGTGGATGGTGGCAGCGGTGGATACAGGGACGAGGTGACTGGTTTAGGTGATGAAGAACAGGATTTAGAGACTGAGCTGTTTCCCGTCTCTTCTGCTGGTGGTGGAAATTCCACCAGGCTGTCGGCTTTTTCCAAAGGCTGGTCTCCGGGCTCTGGATCTGCTACCGCAGACTTCCTGGCTGCACAAGTCCCTGCGGAGACCCTATTCGCCCCAGATACACGGGCTGGAACAGCGGCTGGAATTTGAGGCTGCTGAAAGAGCAGAGCTGGCGAAGAAGGCATCTTCTCTGGACCCTCCGGTCCTAATGCTGCAAAAGCAGACACTGCAGCCGAGCGTTCTGCCTTCATACTTTTTAAAGTCTCTATAATTAATCTCCACATCGTGGAGAATCTGCTCGCCTCTTTTGAACCCGAACTTATGTTTTGCCAAAGTTCTTGCCCTATCTTCTCCCAAGTAGGGATGGCGAAGGCATCTCCAAATGTAGGGAGTAAGCCTTTTTCTCTCGCCCAAAGTAACAGGGCTTTCAGGGTAGACGAGTCATAACTTAACCCTCTCGTAGAGAGCATATGTTGGAGGAGCTTAACCACTGCTGCCTCTTCCTTGGACATAGTGGACCCCATCTCCTCCCCGGCCACTCGCCTGATCAGGGCGAGATTTCCACAACGCTAGCATTTTCCCGAGTGCCGGGGCAGCACTCACCTACAGCCAGCTTCCGCACCCTCTCTCCGTCGGCTCCTGTCATAGAATTCAACACAGGTCTGAGGGTCCCTGTTCGGGCGCCAGCTGTCGACGTGGAAGTCACGGACACTGCACACAATCAATATGATTAAAGCAGATGCCAATTTATTGCCCAAATAGCTTGGTTTATATAAGTATTTTAGTTCCTGCTCATGCGTAAGCCATCTGTTGATTGGTTAACATGTGCTGTCCACGCGCCTAAAACAATAATTTGATAGGATAAGGCCTTCTGATCACGCGAATGGTTCCCTTCGCCTGTAACTTGTCTTGTGTCCTGCTTTCAGTCACGTAGGCCCAACTTTGTTCAGCTTTTTGTGCTCGCTTCATCAAACTTGTAGCAACAGTTAATCTTCGCTACGTCCTTGAGGCCTGCTGCCTGCAGAGGCCTCTGGCTCACGGAATAATCAGTTCCATTGTGCCTGGATTGTTCACTGTATGTCCATTGTTTTCTAAATATCCCACA